CATAACAAATTATGGGTAACAATGAGAAGAATGGGAATTCCTGAAGACTTAATTGTGCTCATGAGGAACCTGTACATAGACCAGGAGGCTGTCATTTGAACAGAACAAGGGGATATTGCATGGTTTAAAATCAGGAAGGAAGTGTATCAGGGTTGTATCCTTTCACCATACTTATTCAATTTGTATGCTGAGTGAATAATCCAAGAAGCTGGACTATATGAAGAACATGGGATTAGGATTAAAGGAAGACTCATTAACAACCTGCGATATGCAGATGACACAACTTTGCTTGCTGAAAGTGAGGATGACTTGAAGCACTTATTGATGAAGATTAAAGAATACAGTCTGCAGTATGGATTAGATCTCAATATAAAGAAAACAAAAAAACCCCTCACAACTGGACCAATAAGCAGCATCACAATAGATAGAGAAAAGATTGAAGTTGTCAGAGATTTCATATTACTTGGTTCCATAATCAACACCAACGGAAGCAGCAATCGAGAAATCAGATGACGTATTGCATTTGGCAAATCTGCTGCAAAAGACTTCTTTAAAGTGCTCAAGAGCAAAGATGTCTATTTGAAGACTAAGGTGCGACTAACTCACACCATGGTATTTTCAATTGGCTCATATGTTTGTGAGAGCTGGACAATGAATAAGGAAGACTGAAGAAGAGTTGATGGTTTTGAGTTGTGTTGGCAAAGAATACTGAAAGTACCATGGACTGCTGAAAGAACAAACAAATATGTCCTGGAAGAAGTGCAGCAGGAACTCTTCTTGGAAGCGAGAATGGCCAGACTTCATTTGACCTACTTTGGTCATGTTCTCAGAAGGGAACATTCCCTGCAGAAGGATATCATGCTTACTATGATATCCTTGAGGGTCAGTGAAAGAAGGGAAGCCCCTCAACAAGATGGATTTACATGGTAGCTGCAGCAATGGGCTCAATTATAGTAGAGATCATGAAGCTGGCACAGGACCGGTCAGTGTTTCATTCTGTTGTACATAAGGTCGCTATAAGTCAGAGATGACTCAACAACAGAAAATATCATCTGCTGAGACAAGAGCATGAAAGAAATTAGAATGGCCACCTTTCTGACATCTTACCTTTTCAGAGGCAGGTTCTTGGCATAGGTTTTGCTGACAAAATCTGTTAACTGAAATTTGGGGCAAGATGCTCTGTCTTCCCCACAGTCTTCAAAGTGCACTGAGAGAAGGTGTTCACTCAAAAGCTGCAGCACGCGTGGGTGGGACATTTCCTTTGCTGTGCAGATGTTTAGGGCTGCATAGAACACACCCTCCAACCACTTGATGTTGAGGGATATTCCCCCTACACATCAATGAAAAGATACAGACCAGTTAGCACTATTACAAGGACCTTTGGCAGCGGCGTCCCTATGGCATTTGACTGCTAGCCAGAAGATTGGCAGTTCAAACCCACCAACTACTCCATGGAAGGAAGACTGGGCAATCTACTTCTGTGAAGATTTATAGCCTCGGAAACCCAAAGGGGGTTGCTATGAGTCAGAATCAACTCTATTGAGTTTGGTTTTTGTTTTTTTTTGAGGACAGATCCCACAGTGAATATCCAACGTTTTTTTTCCCCAAGACATACTGGTAATCTGAAGCTCAAGACAAGTAATACTAATCCTTCCTTGGCCAACAGCCCTACTTCTGTTTTTTATAACACATCCTAAGTGTTTACCACACCCCAGGAGAACAGATATGACAAATGCAGACATTGCTAATAGTTAACAGTTCTCTGGAATGATTCTTGACATAAGGGAAGACATTCAAGTCAATTCCAACTCAGAGCGGCCCAACAGGGCACAGTCGAACTGCCCCGTAGGGTTTCCAACTCTGTAAATTTTAATGGAAGCACACTGCCTCATATTTTTCCCAAGGAGTGGCTGGTGCATTTGAACTGCCAACCTTACGGTTAGCAGCTGAATGCTTTAACCACTGCACCACCAGAGGTACTGGGGAAAATTGTGCAAGGTTAGAATGGGGAAAAGGCCTTTTCATCCCAGACACTGCTTAGTTAATGTATGTTTACTCCTCTGGTTTTCCTGTTAATCCTTAAAGAGTCCAAATAATCAGGCTCCTCAGTAGTCCCTATTAAAGGACGCTTGTACCGCCAAAGACTGTTCTTATACAAAACCCAAGTAGCTGAGAATGGACCCAGCTCGAGCTTACCCCCTTCTTGTCCCTCCCCTCCTCCTGACACACACACACTACACACACTGGGATTTGACAGGATAGCAACAGACTGAGAGGAAAATAATTTTCAAGTGTGTAAAAAATATGGTGGACCATTACCAGCAGGACTGTAGGGGCAGGTAGCTCGAAGAATCACAGGATCTTGGAGAGCAGCTATGATTTCCTTATTAGCCCCCCAGATATTTACAAACTTATCAGCACACTGATACTGGGGCCGCAAGATATTGGTGTGGTTCAACAGTAATTTCAACCTAGAAGTGAAAGCACCAAGATGAGTACAGTGTCCAGACTAGAAGAAACAACAGCACAACCCACTGTGTTCCCATCTACCCCAGCGTCGGACTCTGCTGCTCAGGGTCAGGTGCAGGTGTGTGCTGAGGGCACTGCCTGTTAGTCAGATTGTCCATCCCTTCACCTAACAAACACATATTGAATGTTACGTGCCAGGCACTGGATTAGACACTGCTGTTAGTTGCCGTCGAGTCGACTCATGATGATTAGGGTACGAAAATAAGATTGGATCCCTGCTGTCAATAACTTTTCATGCTGTTCATGGGTGGTTTCCCTTCTCATCGATGCACAGCGGAATACTAGTCAGCTTCAAGTAGCGGGAGGCAATGTTCTATTGCAGTTCTAAACATTTACATATCACAGAAAATGTCCCACCCACAAGAGGTATAGTGGTTTAGTATATTGTTTTACTTACAGTTTGTGGGAAGTGGGGAATACACGATTAGAAAGGCTACCTGAGCCCTGCAGATAAACTGCTTCTACCTTATTTATTGGGAATGACAACCCCAGGAGGACGGGGTGGGGGCGCAGTGACGGGACACACGGGAGACAGAGATGAGGAGGCAGAGCAGTTCTACTGGTCCTGTCCCCACCCTACCAAGATACCTGGGTACTGGGATAGCAGCTACAAAGCTGTACACGATGCAGGTTTTCTCGAGGCTGTTTTGAATTTCTAGGCAGATATTAGGCAGCTGAGATGGCAGGCAGCAGAGGAATACAACATTGGCCCAACTTACCAGACAGGCATTATGGTAAAAGCATTGGACCCCCAGATCCTGGAGCTCATCTGGGGAGACAAAGACAGAAGGAGCACCATGCAAAGGAGTTGAGTGAGACATCAGTTGTGGGGAGAGGATGTTCATTATTTTATCTCAGTAAATCAACCCAAGGCTTGTACCATACCCGCACAGATCAGATGACACTTCCTCATGACTTCGTGCAGCACTGCCCTAGCCCTACTCTTAAGGCAGCTGGTCCCACTGCAGTAGTGCTTGAGATTATAAACTAAGTCATCCTTATCTTACTTTCAGCCCAAATGCTGGACCTTTTTCAGACCTTTTTTTTTTTTAAGTGAGAAAAAAATTTCAAAGAAGCCTTCTGTTCCCATTTACTGAAGGTTTCTCTATGCCAGATAATGTACCTTTGTACAAGAACCTTATGAGGATTAGACTGGTATTATTCCCATATTATAGATGAGGATCTGAGAAGTTAATGTGACTTGTCCAGAATTACACAACTAACTGGCTTGAGTTGGTAGGAAAGACTAAAAGAGTGGAAGAGAATAGGGCAGATGCTGGGAGAAATTTGGAAAGATATAATTAGAGTTTCAGCAAAATACACACAATTTAATGTTTATAAATGTAGAGAAATGTGATAACTCATATAGTTGTATGAAAAATACTCATTGGTAGTTAATCATTTGATTGTACTTACTGCAATATAGAGTTTCAAGAGTAAATATTTAAAATGTAAATTCACATCTGGTAGGTAGTATGTTTTAAATGTTATTGAAAAACAATGTTACAGACATTGAAGAGGTGAATTCTTATATTAACCACCAAGAGTACATGAGAAATTTGATGCTGGGCTATCTGGATACTTATATACATGGAAGATGGACAGGACAAAGAGGAAGTTTAGGAAACAGACACGTGCATCATTCTTTAATGTGTCATTCTCAAAAGTGCATAGAAGCTGAGACTGGGCATTTTGAACTCTTGTATCCTTATATAATACATAGTGATATTCAAACATTGTAATTTTAATTATGAATAAACATTGCTTCCCAAATACTGTGTGTTTTATTAAAATCTATATATAAGTTGGAGCAAACTCAGTTGTAGCTGGTACTGGTTTATTGTTGAGATTAAAAATTTGCCTTAAGTGGTGAGATTTAAAAAAAAAACCACCTAAAACTGTGGTCAATGGCATGCAACAAAGTAAACGTGAACTGCTGTATGGAAAGCGAATTTGCTCTGTAAATCTTCACCCAAATAAAAAAAACCCACCTAATATAGAAGAAGCATTTATAAATCAGTAAGAAAAATACAGACACTCTTACAGAAAAATTGGGCAAAAGCAACTTAAAAAACATGAAATAACAATAAAACTATGAACAAATATTCAAATTCATACTAAAGTGGTGATTTTAAAAAATGTTTCCCAGAATTGACAAAAGTGTAATGAAATGGGTCTTTTTATTGTGCAGTTTATTGTATGCAAATTATATCTTTAAAAAGCTGTGCTTCTTCACCCAACAGCAGCACAATATACATTCTTCTCCAGTGCACATGGAACTTTTTCCATGATAGACCATATGTTAGGCCATAAAGCAAGGCTTCATA